CCCCATCCCAGAAGTGGGGGACCCCTTCAGTTCACAGAAGGAAGTACAGATACCCTTGGGTGGGGCTGGTGTAGCACTGGCCCCACTCCTGGCCCTTGCACAGACTCCGGGAATGAGGACCTTCTGTCCTAGGCTGAGACTTGCTGCTCTAGTTTCTCTGCTGGGAGCCCTGCTCTGTCCAGAGGAAGGAGGGATGGTAGCTGTTCTTCCTGCCAGGCCCAGAGCCTCCTATGACTCTCTCAGTTTCTAAGGAGTGGGAGGCTGTGGCTTGCTTGAGTCTCTGCAGTGCTGAGCCCTGCCCAGGATTCCATTGGAGGACCACGTGGAGCGGCCTTGAGAGGCTATGACTGGTACATTAAGAGAAACCACAGGAAGGGAAAGGAGGCTCTGCCTTTCAATCTTGTCTCACTGGGAAGTTGGCTTCCTGGCATTTCAGATGGGTTGTGAGAAGGGCACAGGTTTCACAGCTGGGAGGAGGGTATTAGCAGAAAACATCATGGACAAAACCCAGAGGTGGGAGCATTGAGTCCTAGGAACTGGGCTGACCAATAGGGTCTATGTGGTGGAATTGGAGAAAACATTGTGGCTCTGAGGGTTTTTTTGGGTCCCATCATAATGTGTCTTCCAAATCAGGCTGAACAGTTTGGATCTGAATCAGTAGACACTGGGGAGACAGAGACGGGTTTGGGCAGAGGAGTGACCATCTTATACTCTCTGAAAGCTCAGTTCGCACACATGCATTGGAGGAAAGACCAAGTCCCTTTTGGAGGTGCAGCCTCTAGACACCTACAGGAAAGATGCCCTTCTTGGGACATTCCTGCCACTTAATCATCATGGACGATGTCTGACAGGTCCTCATCACCACAACCTAAGCCAGAGAGGGCAATGGGCCAGTGGGGACCTTGTAGTCAGTGTCACTGCAGGCCGAGGAGAGGAAGACTCAGCTCCTCCTGTTCAGAGCCCACCTGTGGTGGGGACTGCCTGCCTCAATTACCTCTTGGAGCTCCTACCTGGGATGGTCACATGCCAGACCAGGACAGGATGGAGAAAGCAGGCCACGGACAGCAGCATGTAGGCAAGGAACTTCTGAAAGCAGCCCAGCCAGTGGGCCTTCTCCCTTGCTCTGTAAGCCAGGGACCCAGGCTGACACCTAGGAGGAAGTCATCCAGGATTAGTAAGAAGCAGGAAATGACTCAGGAAAGCCCCAGCAATACATGAGGCTACAGGAGGCTGGGATACTATCCTATAGTGGCTATGTTCTTAGCAGTGGCCTCTGGCTAAACACCCCCCTGGGTAGGAGTTCTTACTTAGGGGTTCTAAACTCAGGGGTCACACCTGAGCCCCTCCAGAAGAGCTGCAAAGGCAGTATAAAGGAGAATAGGAAACTCAGGGATCTACTGGGAAGGCCACAGTGAATTGGAGGTGTGCATTATGGAGCTACATAGCTGGGATAGTTGTATGGATTGTGCACTGCACATGGGCCTGGCTAGGTGGGTGAGTGGGCTAAAATCCAGCTGCACCCTGCTCACAGAGTCTTGCCTAGGCATGAAATAGCATTGGCCCAGAGGGGCTTCTTTCTTAATTGGCATGCACAGTCCATACATAAGCCTGGCAGAAGCCTAATACTCAGCAGGTTTCCTCAAGTTTATTGCCTTCAACTTTTGAAGGAGAAAAGCACTTGCCTTTAGGTTTATCTCCTTCATCTTCTGAATTGGCCTGGAGCAGGGATCTGCATCCTGCCCAGGCTAGTTTTGGGGAATGCTGGTCCAGACCATGGCCCACCTTCCACACTCAACTGCCATGGCTCTCTGGTGCCTCTCGTTGGTCATTCTTTTGTGACCAGACCCTGCCTGGGAGTGGAGGGGTCCAGAGCTGGTAAAATGCCCCCTTAAGTCCAGGGCTCTTCTCTCCTCTGCCCCCCAGAATTTGCAAGGATCCCTTGGTAGTGGAAGCTACTTACCGGAAGCATATTGCCAGCAGATGAGCCACAAAGTAGGCCCCTTCACACACGGAGATGGCGGCTCCTATAAATCTATGATGGAGACAGGTGAGGGAGGCTGGGCACCCTCTGATTCTTCCTTTGCTTTCCTGTAGGCATTCTTCTCACAGCATCTTGGCCTCTTGGGCATCTAAAGACTACCGACTTATTTAATCCTGTCACCCAACCAGCAACCCCAGGAGCTGTCTCTATGCCAGGGCCTCCACTGGGTTGGTTTGTGGTGGTGGAGGGGTTGGGGTCTGGGGCCCATAGATAGATGAGGAGGGAACCGAAGGCCAGCAGGAAAGACCACTTTGACCACAGCATTCCTGTGTGGATACTGGCAGGCGAGTCCTTCTACCCATTGTCACCAGGATGGACACCCACTGCCCTTACAGTTGGATCCATTCCTGAACGCTTTACTTCTCCCTCTTGTCTCATCATCCAAAAAACTCACTAGGAAAAGCTGATCACTTTACTTAAATAGCCTTAGAATCAGTTCCATTCTCTCTGGCCTCATCTGTATCGCCTGAGCTTGGGCATTGCCCCCTGGACACCTGCACCACTTTCCCCCTTTTGGCTTCCCTGACTCCCTGGCCCTCACCTTGTGCCACCTGGCCCTCTACTCTGTCACCACCAGGCTGCCCCCAGGGCTCCTTCTGATACCCGAATCTGATCATATTCCTTCCAATCTAGAGTGTTTAAATTCCTCCTCATGCTCCAAGTGTAGTCCAGGGACCCTCCAATCAGAATCTCCCGGGGAATATTTAAAATCATAGATTCCTGGGTCAGTTCCAGACTTTCTATATCAGAATCTTTGGGACTGGAACTTACATTTTTTATTTTTATTTTTATTGGAGACTATCACTGGCCTGTAGAATTGAAATTTCTTAGCATGTCTTTTAAAGCCCTACATGAGCTTCCATATTCCTTTGACTACACAGGAAGCCTATCAGGTGCCATAGGGCCATAGGTGTATCTCTCTTGGAAGGACTCATCCTTCCTCCTGTTGTCTATCTAGTGATCTCTTGCTTCTTCATGTTGTACTGTGTGACTAGAGCCACCAGTTTGTGAACTCCCTTAGGTAGTTCTCTCTCTAATTCTTCATGAAGCCCACGCCCACTCTGGGAAAAGCTTATTAAGCAATCCGTGGACTTGCATTGGAGTAAATGAATGAGTGAGGGGAGATGCTACCTTGCAGGAAAAGGTGACTTGGGGGTCAGGGTTTTCTCAGGGCCCTGGGAATCGCTCCTGCTACTAATCAGCTGTGTGGCCATGGGCAAGGGGCTTGGCTGCTCTGCGCCTCAGTTTCCTCAGTTGTAAACTGAGAGTAATTATAGTGCTTCAACAATAAATTGTTATAAGGACTAAATGAGTTTATTTTTGTAAAGCCCTTCAAATGTGCTTGGCACATAATGCTCATTATATACATATTAGTTTCTCTCTCTCTCTCTCTCTCTCTCTCTCTCTCTCTCTCTCTCTCTCCCTCTCATCATTTAGTATTTAATCTCTAATTTCTCCCACTCTCTCTATGCTTCCAGGTCTTCCTAACTCTTACTCCTTAGCTTTTAAATGGTAATAGCCTTTAGCCAATAGTGTGGTCGCTATTTGTGGATAAGTGTGAGGAAGGCAGTGAAGAGAAGGAGGAAGTGTCTTATGGGAAGAAGGAAGATGGGAGAGGAAGCAAGTATGGAAAGAAGTGGAGAAGAACAAAGGGAAAGCTAATGACAGATCAGTTCTTACTGGTGTCTGCTTTTGACCATGGCCCCTGCTTGGTCCAGGGGATACAGAGAAGGCAGTGACAGTCATACATGAATGCTCCAAGTATGAGGGAACACAGTGGCAGGAGTCCCAGATCTGTAGGGGGGAGTTCATATGTGTGTAAGGGAATATGGGAGGAAGAAGGGGTGAAAGGAGGGAGGGAGGCAGGACATTTGTACATTTGGATGGCCCTTTAGGAATTAGTAGGCATGAGTGTAGGAGGGATGGGCAAGGTTGGCTGTGGGTGCCAATTCCACGAGGTTGGAGAGCAGGGCACGTGCGGAATATATAAAGTAGTTCACAGTGAGGTGAGGGGGACCTGCTGGTGGAAATAATGTTTTCTAGGACTAGATCACAGAGTTACCAGATGTGCGTAGTGTCCCCTCAAGACAGGCAGAAGAGTCAGGAAGAGGCAGGGTGATAGGCAGAAAGCAGTCAACATTAACTGGCCAACATTACCTGTTACAGTAGGATGATAACCCCCAGGTCTTACCCAAAGTGATGTTTGTGGGTGAACTAGGCAACCTTATGGAGAGGAAGAAGGCCCGGGCCTGCTTCGGGATTCTAGGAAGACAGGGTATAGCAGCTGGGACAGGCTCAGTAATACATGGAGGATGCTCAGAGCAAGAAGGCACTTCTAGCCAGCTAGGCAAGTGTCCCAGAGCAGGATGCCAGGAAGAAATGTCAGGCTTCGGGAATGCTGAAGTGTGTGGAAAGGCACCCATGGTGCTCGCTCCACAGGATGAGCAGAGGTTTGGAGGTGATGTGATGTGGGAGAGTTT